ACAAAAAAAATTAAAAATTTACATTATTATTTGAAGATGTTTTCGGTGAAAGTAAAATGTTGCAAAAAAAATACTTAATCATTAAATGTATCAATTTTTTTCAAGTTTTATAGTAGTTAAAATGTTATAGAAAATTTCACTAAACATCGAAACAATGTTTGGTATTTTGATTGAATTAAGTCAAGTCAAGTTGGTTGGTGTGTGTGTGTGTGTTGACATTTTTATTGACATTAAATTTGTTTTGTTGTGTTTTCTGGAATGTTGTTGGAATAATTTTTTTCTTTTAATTCTGTAACAAACAACCCTTTACTTTCCATAGAAAAAAGGAGGAGGAAAAATTTTATGCAAATTTCGTTGTTGTTGAAGGTTTAGATTCTTTGGATAAAATCACATGGCACACACACACACAAACACATGATATATTCAAACAAACAAAGAATGTTGCCAATGAACATAATAAATTATAACACAGAATTTATTTTAAAGGAAATTTTAAAGGAAGAAAGAAAATGAGAAGCTCGTCAAATTTATTAGATTTTTAGAATGATGATTATCACTGCCTGTGTTGTTGTTGTTGTTGATGTTAATAAATCTTAGCTCATAACAAATGTGGCGGATTAAGATTCTTTAAAAAAATTTTCCACCAAAATGATGACGATAATGATAATTGGGTGGAAGAAAGAGAGAGAGAGAGAGAGAGAGAGAGAGAGAGAGAATTGTCAAATTTAAAATAATTTGTTTTCACATAAAACCACCACCACCACCAACAATAACAATCACATAATTGAATTGAATCAGGGAAAAATTGACTAGATGAAAGATTCGAATAAAGATGAGGAAAGTTAATTGGAAAAAAAACAAACAGTAAACACACGAAACAAACAAACCCGGATATGATGGAGAAAAATAAATTATCTAAGCATCGATGTGGTTTTAAAATTACGAAACAAAACAAAAAAATCACCTTTACCGGTAAAACACAAAATGATGGAAATTTTTTTCATTTATCCAGAAAAAAAACAGATACACACTAAAAACACATAGAGACGATTAAATAAAATCACAAATCGATCCACAAGCAAACACAGGAAAATAAAGAAAGAAAAAGAAAAAGAAAATTTTTCTTCTTTTTGGGTTAAAATAGAATCATCATTATTATTTTGATGATATAATGGCAATGTTCTTCTTCTTGTGCGTCTTCTAGCTTTTTAACTTGTGTGTTTGGCTGTCTGTGAAATTTTTATTTTTTAAATTCGGTGCGATCCAAAATACATTTACCAAAACACACACACACATACACAGACACTGAGACAGACCAACAGACACTGAAAGAATCAATGATGTAGGAAATAAAAGAAAAGCTGCTGAAAAAAAACATTGCTTTCACCATTGTATGGATCCCAAAAGTGTGTGTATGTCGCTATCAATCTTTAATGTTTTACGTTCTACATGCACAGAAGATGCTGCTATTCCATAAAAACGACGACAACAAGAATATCACACACACACATACATATACAAATGATGTATATAGAAAAGTGTAGTGTTTGAAAGTTTCGCTATAGAATTGATAGGGAAACTTTTTCAAAAAATCAAATCAAACGGTAAAAAACGAAGAATCTTTATGTGAGTAGTAGCACGATGAAATGAAAGAATTTCTTTTTTGTTTTCGTTTTTTGTCGGTGAAGATTCAAGATAGAGAATATAGTTCAAGCTAAATTTATGTAATGAACATTGTGATATGTGATACGAAATGATTTTCAGTGATTTTCAAACAAAAACAAAAATTTCTATATTTTTCCTGGGCTTCTGTTATTGAAATCATCAATTTTTTTCACATAACTTTTTTTCCAAAAAATACCAATCAAATGAAATCAAAACACAAACACACAATAAACCGGTAGTAAATGAAAATTGTTCAGTTTGAAAACACTGAATGATTCTTCAAAAACTTTTGTCTGTAAGGTATAAATAGTTCTTGATTTTAGTTTGTTGTAGCAGAAAATTTGACAAACACTGTAATCTCTCTCTTTTTCACGTAGATGATTGCTAGATGATTATGTCTGCTTGAATTAGTAAATTTCATTTCATTTTTTTTATATTTAATAAATAACCACCAATATTTTTTTTTTATATAATCATCAACGTCATTATGATGATGATGATGTGCAGGCAAGCAAGAAAAAAAAAATAAAAATAAATAAAGGTAGAGGTAGAGATTTTTGTAATTCAAAACTTTGTTATTGTGATGTGTTTGCTGTTGATGATTATGATTATGGAAGAAGAAAAAAACAGTTCAAAGAATTAAGAAAGCCAGCAAAAAAGAAAAATCAATCATGATGACAGAATGAGATGATGTTACATATCAGAATATCGAAAATCATTCATTCATTCATTCATTCATTCAGTTTAGCTTAGTAGCTGCATTCACTATTCAGTATTTTTGTTTTTGTTTTTTTTCTTTTGGTATTTGTCATTGGTTTTTCCATTCAAACATCATCGATGATTTTAACAAAGTTTGTGGTAAAAAGAAAATCAGTAAAAAGAATCCAACAAACAACACAATTAAGTTGCAAATATTATAAACAAATCAGAATCCTGAATCCTGAACATAACTGAATGATGGTTATTTTTGATTTGTTTGTTCAGAATTTGCTTTCAACAACAACAACAAAACAAAACAAAAAATCCAATGTTTGTTTGTTTGCTTGCTTGCTGATGTTATTTACAACGGTAATTCGTTTTTGGTTTCGTTCAGTTTTTGGTTATCCTAGAAACCATATATATCTACTCTACCTATCATTCCAAAAAAAGAAAATATTTAATGATGATGAATATAGCTAGTAAATGGTTGTTTATATTTACATGATACACACATCGTTGTCGTCTTACATTATCTTTAAAAGAATTTGACAGAAAAGAAAAAGAAAGAAGAAAAAAATGGGCAAAGTTAATCAAACAAACCGGAATTGGAAAAACAGAAAACAAAAAACAAATAAAGTAAATTGTCAATTTGCATAATGTTTTTTGGGGAGGCAAATAATCATTTTGAAATGAAAAAAGTCATAGAAAATTTCATTTTCTAGCGTTTTCCAGTCATGTCACATCACTTTAATTATCCTTTCTTTGGTTGAAGAAAATTAATTGCTAATAAAAACCAGAACAAAACGAAATAAATCTACTCGATTGGTCTGGAAATGGGAAAAAATTTAGATTTATTTAATCCAAACGAAACGAAACAAAATGCTTAATTTACTACATTGAAAGCGAATGAATACTTAAAAACTAAAATTAAAAAAAAATTTCAAGTCCATCAATTTTTATTGTCTTTTTCTGTTTCATCGTTGGTTGTCTTTTCCCATCTATTTTCTTATTCTGTTTATATAAATTGGTCCTGGTTGTTGCATCCGAAAATAATATGATAATGGAAATAATAATAAAAATGAACGAACGAACGAACTAAACGAACAAAACAAAAAACAATCGAATATATTCGCTTATTCGCATATTCAATTATATTGGTCATTGAGAACAAACAAAACCGAAAACAAAATTGACCATTATCAAATTATTCCAGAAATCCAGCCAACAACATCAACAACAACAACAAAAAAGCAAAAAAAGAGAGAGAAAAAAAGGGCTGACATATACGAAAATAGCCATTGAAAATTGGAAATATTTTTTTTCATTTTCTGTCTGTTTTCAGCCATCATCATCATTATATTTGGGTCATCATAAATCACCAAACTAAAAAAAATGTGATGGACAATAATGATGATGGAAAAAAGAAGAAGAAGAAGAAGAAAAAAATTTGATTACCGTCGAATAAATTATAATAATCATAATGTTTTGGCTTGCCTTTTTTTTTGATTATCATTATCTGTACGGTCTCGGTCATGTCTCTTTTTTTTCGAAAAAAAATGTTCATATCATTTCGTTCAATGGGTCGTTTCTTGTTTGATGAATCAAAAAAATTTCAAAGAGCCAGATTAGCAACAAAAAAATAAAACCAGTGTTTTCTCTATCCAAAATCAAACATCATATTTGATGATGATGATGATGATAAAATCTTGATGGTCAGCAAAGAATTTTTTTGGATTATTTTAGTTGTCCATCAACAACAAAACAAAACAAAACATGACGATCTTGACCTTTATTTTTTTCAGTGAAAATCAATCATCATAGCTTCCTGATCATTTGATTGATTTTTTTGTTTTGTTTCGTTTTTTTCAGATGTAAAATGTATCAAATTATCGATTGTATCAATCATTGTTTCAACATCTTCAAAGTGTGATTATTGTGATTAGTGTGATCATGATCTTGATCTTGATCTGAGATTTGATTTGATTGATTGAAAAATTGATTGATTGAAAAAATCTGATAAACATTTTTCATTTATTATTCATAATGTTTCCATTATTATCAACATATGATTATTATCATCAACATTTTCATTATTATCATTATAATTATGATTACATCATTATATCAATGATTTTCTTTTTTTGCATTTTATCGATACAATATCGATTAAATTATTTTTCAATCAAATCATTATTTCATCATCCTTATTATCATCAAATTTGGATATTTTCATACAATTTATTATTGGTTATGTGTTTGGAACAACAACAACAACAACAATCGATTGTTGATAATCATCATCATCATTATTATTATAATCCAATAATACGTTCATCAAATTATATTGGCCTAAATCATTATCCATTTACAACTTCAACATTATATTACATAACAAATGCTGCAAGACAATCAGCTGCTGTTAATAATGATAATAAAAGTAATTCAGCTAATCAATCGGATATTAAATTACAAATAAAAAGATCATTAGATTATCAACCATTACATGATATATCAACCGATTTATTTATACGACCATTTGCTACATTAAATTCATCATTTATTGAATATTTAATTAATGATAAAATAAAATTATCAAGAAAATTACATCTACTATTGACTATTTTAACACAATCAAATAATACATTTAATATTGATCGTCATTTTGTTGGTGATTATAATGAGCTTATTTCGAAAAATATGGCTACCGTTTTACGAAAATCATTAATTTCGAAACGTAAAAAAAATATAACAGCAACAACTTTAACAACAATATCACCATCATCATCAACAACATTGGTCAATGTGATTGGTCGTTGTTTTGAACCATATGGTTGTTTTCGTATAACCGAACCATTTCGTACCATATACAGGCCAATAAATCTAATACCTGAACCACCGAATGCAATTAAAATTGCCTTTTATCTTCGAACCAGAAATAATCCAACATTAGCTGAACGTTTACCATATAGTCATACAAATGAATTTCTTATTTCAAAATATTTTCGACCAGAATCTGATTTAAAGATAATCATACATGGATATTTAGAGAGTAGTGATGAATATTGGGTTAATGTAGCGTTTAATTTATAAAACATACCAACAAAAAAAACACTTAAATTAATTCATATTATTTTACAATATAGGAAATGAGTATGGCATTATTGAATCATGATGATCTTAATGTTATATCAGTTGATTGGATGCTTGGTGCTTCACCACCATATAGTCAAGCAGTTGCCAATACCAGATTAGTTGGTGCAATGATTGCACATTTGATCAAAATTATTCAGGTAGATTTTTTTCATGAAAAAAATTCCAAAATTCCAATGATTTTTCTTTTAATCATTTTGCTGCATTATAGAAAAGCTATCCAAATCAATTTCCCAGCAATCGAATTCATATTATTGGTCATAGTCTTGGTGCACATGTTGCCGGTTATATTGGTGAAATTATTACTAATTTAGGTCATATTACAGGTATTTATTATCCAGAATATCCTGAAAAGATTTTAAAACAAAACGTCTTATCAAAACAAAAAAAAAGGTCTCGATCCAGCTGAACCATATTTTCAATATACAGATCCAGCTGTACGGCTTGATCCAAATGATGCTGAATTTGTTGATATTATACATTCAGATGTTGCAAGTATTATGTCCGGTGGTTTTGGTATGAGTCAATCATGTGGTCATGTTGATTTTTATCCAAATGGTGGTATTGAACAACCTGGTTGTAAAAGTCAAACATCAATAAAAAATGTTGTCGATTATATAAGTAAAGAGAAAAATATTTTTGATGGTTAGTTTTACAAAAATATATGTTAAACTTATTGAATGCTTATCATCATCATTATCATCATTATTATAGGCATACGTCGATTTATTGGCTGTAATCACGCTCGTTCATTTTTAATTTATATTGAAGCCATTAATTCTGAATGTAATTATAATAATATATATTAATTTTTCATAGTGAAAAGAAAAATATCCAAACAACAAAAACATTTAGATCGAACGATCGATCGATCTATTGTTGTTGTTGTTGAATGGGTTTTTTTTTCGCTTGAATAGCCAAAAGGATTGTCCATTATAATTAGTGTTGAACCAATTTTTTTTCTTTCGTTTGATTTTTAGGTCCATTTATGGGTTTTCCATGTCAAAATTATGATGAATTTATTAATGGACAATGTACATCAATGATTGCCGATCATTATAATTATCAATATTGTATTGAAAAACCAATAAAAAAATCTTTACCATCCACTATGATGATGATGAATTATACAAAATGTCCAATTAGGCTTGGTCCAAATAGTATCGTTGATTATAAAGCTAACAACATTGAAATGTTTAATGATGAAAATTTTAGTAAAATTAGAAATTTTAATATATCAAAATTTGTTTATTTTTTACAAACAAATGATAAACAACCATTTTGTTATTATCATTATAATATTAAATTAATTTATCAATTACAAAAGAATTATCGATTTCAACAACAACAACAACAATTTCGTCATGGATCAACATGGCGAACTTTTTTCGATTGGCCATTCAATAGTAAACTAAATTTAGCAATCATTGGTTCACGTAATCGAATTACAAGTGAATTTTTTCTTAAACAAGATCACTTTAAAGAGATAAAAAGTTCTTTACCATCGTCAACAATTACTTCTTTTGTTAATAAAAAGTTTGATAATAAACAAACATCATCAATGTTGTCCGAATTCAATGTACTTATAAGTGGTGGTGATTTGGGAAAATTATTACGAATTGAATTAGATTGGCGTACAACCAGTAGTCAAATACAAAGATCATTGACAACAATGCCAACAAAAACTTTGAAAAAATTTATTTCACAATTATCTAATTCAGAAACAATACCATTGTTACCAAGTTTTTTAAATGAATTACAACGTATATCGTTGAATGTCAATCAAAGTCAAATGTTAATGTTTTCACAACAACAACAACAACATCAAACAAATACATTCAATAAATATCGAAACAATTTAGCCGGAATAGATATGATTTTGGGTAAAACTTTTGATCATAATCAACAACAACAACAAAATGAACTAACATCATCAATTCTATCATCAATGTCAATACCAACAACAACAACAGCAATGAAAACAACAACAAAACAAAAAGATTATTCAATCAATCAACAGCCATTATTACGTGCAATAATTGTAAAAAAATTAGAAACAAATGAACAAACAATATTCTGTACAAATGAAAAAGAAATGAAAGAAATTTTTCAATCAACAACAACAACAACAAAAAAATCATCATCATCAACATCCTCATCATCATCAATGTTTAAAAGTATAACATTAATGGCAACAAAATCATTGAATAACAATAATAATAAGAAGAATTGGTCATTACCTAAGGCTATTAATAATAAAGGCAATGATCATGATCAAAATGAATCGAATAATGAATCAAAACAAAAAGAACATCAACAACAACAACAAGAACATATTGAAGATGTAGAAATTGATTCAATCATATCGGATTATTGTACAGCATTTTGGCAGACCTAAATTGTGGAGCATCAAACTTTATTACTTAATTTTTGTTTTTCTTTTCATAACTAATTTATCATTTTATGATTTATTTGGGTCGGTTCTTTTTTCAACAAAATTCCATAAACAATAATAATTTTTCCTGTTTGTATTTTGATATTATTTCTGGTTCGTTTGTTTATTTTCATATACATACATACATACATAACATACGTAACACACATATATTTCACATTATCACATTCAGTTTAGTTTCCTATTTTTATTTTTCTTGTTTGTTTCACTGATTTATCATTTACTGATAATGAATTAGGATGATATTTTTATCCGTATATCTACATCTAGTAACCAACCAACAAACAAACAAACAACAGTTATAACCGAAGAAGAAAACAAAAATCGGTCGAATCTAATCTTTGTTTGTTCGTCTGATTCGCGCATCAATTTAAAATAGGAACAACAACAACAACTGAAAAAAATGGCTGTTGATGACAGGCAAAAGAAAAGAAAACCTATTTAAACCGTTTATGAAACAGGAAAAAAATTGATCATGATGATGATGGCTTATTAGACCATTGAGAATTTTCAACACTGTAGCAACAACAAAGCAAAAAGAGCAAAAAGATGGCCAACATTCATATAATATTTCATTCATTTTCTATTACAATTTTTAGCTTTTTATTATTGATAAATGTACAGCGGATTAAATCATCGGTAATGATGGCCGATTCTGAACAACAATCAAACAGTAAATCAAAAGAAAATCAAATTATTTGCAATTAATAATGATGAAAAATATTCTCTCTCTCTCTTTTTCAGCAGCTATTAATAAAACTACAAAACTTAAAAGTGGTTATTATATTCCGGTTGTTGGTTTAGGTACATCAAGAATTGCATCGACCGATGAACTTGTTGTTCAAGCAATCAAAGATGCAATCGATGTTGGTTATCGTCATATTGATACGGCCGATTTGTAAGTTTCTTTTTTCTTTTTCTTTTTTTGTTTGTTTGTTTGAACTTTTTTCACTTATTTTATTTCCTTATTTCCTTTTGTATCGATAAATTGATAGCTATCAAAATGAAAAGGCCATCGGACAAGCATTGGATGAACTTATACGTGATGGAAAAATAAAACGAAATGAATTGTTCATTACAACAAAAGTTTGGAGCAATTATCATACAAAAGAATTAGCTCTACAATCGGTTCGTCAATCATTAACTAATCTTCGTCTTGATTATTTGGATTTAGTTTTAATACATTGGCCAATGTCATTCAAATCCGGTAGCGATTTGGTACCAAAATTTCCAAATGATACAATTATCGGAAGTGATTTAAGTAAAGAAAATTTTGAATTAGCATATCAAGGTTTGGAAGATGCTTGTGATCAAAATCTTACACGTTCAATTGGTGTATCTAATTTCAATATTAAACAATTGGAAAAACTTTTATCAGTCGAAAATCGTCGACATAAACCGGTTGTAAATCAAGTTGAATGTCATCCACATTTAAATCAAGAAAAATTATTGGAATATTGTTGTAATAATAGTATATATTTGGTTGCATATTCACCATTACGTCGTGCAAATGTAGCATTGTTTGATGAACCAAAATTAAAACAAATTGCTTTGGAACATAATCGTACAATTGCACAAATTATTCTACGTTGGCAATTACAACGACATGTTATTGTTATACCAAGAACGGGTAAAAAACATCGTATGTTAGAAAATATTTCCTTATTTGATTTTCATCTAAATCAAACGGAAATGTCGACGATAAAATCATTGGATCGAAGTAAAAACAATGAAGGAAGAGAAATTAAATTTGATTCAGCATCACATTTACCCGAATATCCATTTGTTGATAATTAAAGCATTTTTAAAGTTTAAAAAATTTCTATAATGACTGAATTGAATCAATGAAAGAAGATCCGATAATATGATAAAGCTCAAGAATCATCAATTCTGTTTTCATTATTTTCTTTTCTCGTTCAACATTTGATGGGAATTTTCTTTATGCAATAATCTCTCTATCTAGATATGGGGAAACCATGTCAAGGTTTTCGATTTTCTTTTGATTTTTTTTTCAATCAATATTAATGCAGATTGATCAATTTGATGAATAAACGAAATAGTTTTTTTTTGAAAAAACGCATTTGTGAATTGATTTCTTTTCTTTTTTCCTCATTTTTTTCATGACAAACAAACAAACAAAACATTTTTGAAAAAAAGAGAGAGATATTTCAGAAAATTTATTAAATAATGAAAATGTTAAAAGAGAAAAAGTATTTGAAAAAAGGAATGAACTTTGTATTTTTGTTTGCACGTATAAATAACATTGATAAATCACATTGATCAAATGGACAAACGAAATTGATTGAAAAAATTCATCGCTGATGATGATATTAGTGATGATTTAACTAAATCCAGCAGCAGTAGTGTGAATGTGTTTTTTTGTTGTGATAATCAATCGATCGATATTTTTGGGAAAAAATGATGCAAAAACAATTTCAAATATCGATTGTTAGAATCATTCTTCTTTATTGGTTATTATTATTATCGTTTATGACGATTATCGATTGTGATAACAACAACAACAACAAGAAAAAAGATGATAAAAATATCCTAGATAAATCTGTAAGTAATTTTTGTTTGTTTTGTTTGTTTTTTGAAAAGAAAATGAAATTGATTTGATTTACTTTTTTTGGTTAATTTGTGTGACTGATTGTAGGATCTCAAAAATTTAATTCAAAATATTGAATTTGATGAAAAATTTTTTCGATCAATTCTTGATAAAATACTTATACCACGTAGTGTTGATTCAACCGGTCATGAAACAGTACGGCAAGTATGTCACGAATTTTCCTTTCAGTTTTCCTTTCAATTGATTTTTGTTTGTTTGTTTTGGTTTTTCCCAAAAAATTTTTTCATGAAAAAAGTACATAAAAAATACATTGCGAGACTTGAATTCAAGATGGCATGTTGAAGAGGATGTATTTCGTACCAGAACACCTGCTGGACAATTGAAATTTCATAATATAATTGCAACATATGTACCAGAATTTGGTTGTGTAAAAAGTAAATCATCATTAAAACGTACAATATTAGCTTGTCATTATGATTCATTAAAATCAACATTGGTTAAAGGTGGATCAACATCAAATATCGATAGTCAAATAGAACAACAATTACAATTTATTGGTGCAACCGATGCAGCCGTATCATGTTCGCTAATGTTATATTTAGCACATAAAATGAATGATTATTTAGGAAAACTTTGGCTTAATTATTCATTAAGTAATCGTACAGTACAATTAAATACATTACAATTAATATTTTTTGATGGTGAAGAAATTATTCGTTCAGATCCAAATATTATTAGAAGTAAACGTTATAAATCAAAATTTCCACAAACTGATTCATTATTTGGTTCAAAACATCTTGCTAATAAATGGGAAAAAATTTCAAATGAATTAAATGAACAACAAAATCATAGATTTAATACAACGACCAATGATATTAATAATAATAATGTTACAATTACAAAACGTTCCCGACGTTATATATTATGTGATGGACAAAATTCAAAAAAATTAGCTAAACAACAACAAATGCTTCAGATTCAACAACAACAACAGCAGAATGAAAATCCCGTAATGAAAAATAAAAAAAATTCCAAAATTACTGAAGTATTAATAATATCACCACAAGATTATCATACAATTGATGATATAAAATTATTTATTTTATTTGATTTAATTGGTGGTTCAAGTTCACGTTTTTATAATACAAATCTTAATACAAGTCATTATTTTCAACAATTAATTCAAATAGGTAATGTTTGTTTTGTTTGTTTTTTTTTTTGAAAAAAATGATAATAACATTATGATTATGATTTTTTTTTGTTCATTAGAAAAAAGTTTTGTACAATTCAACAATGAAACAAAGAAAACATCCAAATCAATGAACAAAAATTTATTTCAACAAAATCCAGCATTTATGGTTAGTTTTGTACGTGATGATCATTTACCATTTATTATACGTAATGTACCAGTATTACATCTTATACCACATCCATTTCCACGTATATGGCATAGTATGGATGATAATTTAGATAATCTTAATTTTAATTCTATTAGTCGTTTTGTAACTATTATGCAAATATTTCTTCTTAATTATTTTGGTTTAGTTTGATAAATAAAAACAAATTTTTATTTTTACTTTGTAAATCTTGTGCAGCAAAAAAAAAAATGTGATGAAATGAGATTTTTTTCATTTTAACAATTTTGGTGGAAAAGAATTATCTTTTTTTCGTGTTTGCCAATGAATATCAAGCACTTGTATCGGTTATATTGTTTTTCTGGCTAAGTACAATAATTTCATTCATTGTTTGTGATTTTTTTGTTGTTGTTGTTGTTGCTTTTGATGAAGATGATGATGATAAAAATAATCGAATTAATTTCGCAAAAGGAAGCTCGATAAAAAGATGTATAATAATAGCAGCAAGAACCGATAGAATGATGAGAAGAAAACAGAATTGTAACTAGATGATGATGATGATGAATTACAGAAAAGGATCAGCATTACATATAAGCACATTCAAATATACAAAAGAAAAGAATTATATAATCGATAAGTAAATATTGATGTAATAGTAATACTTACAGTACCAAATTCATTTCTTAATTGTGGAAAACGTGTCTGATGTACAATAAACCATGTTAATGGTACATGAACCAAATATATTGCAAAACAAATTCTTGCTAATGGTACAAAACAATGTGATGATAATGTTTTGATAAAAATATTTTCATTTATAATTATTGGATATGTTGATGATAAATAGAACATAAATGATATTGAACAAATCCACAAGAGATTCGAAATAGTTATAATCAATGCATTAGACCATGAATAGCTACTAAGTAAATCAGCTAATGGTCGTTGTTGTTGATAATCAAAGAAAAATAATGGAAATATTTGTGGTATAATCATTAATATTGCCAAACTTAATAGAAATAATTTTCTTATTGAAACCTAACCGAACACAACAAAAAAATCAAAAATCAAATGATGAGAAAATAAACAAACAAACAAATGAATGAAGGAATGAAAAGGAAAATGAAAATTAATAACTTCATTATGAATGAATGAACATTGAAAAAAAACATATACTGATTGTATATGATACATACCTTTGATAAATTTAAGGTAATTTTTTTATTTACCAAAACACCGATTGTAATACCAAAAAAATATGCTTCAAAATGATTATAGGTAGCTGTCCAATACAGGAGATAACCACGATCACCTAGACTATATAGTTTGTTTGGGTTAATTTGTAATTAAAAATTCAAAAAATAAATTAAAAAATGTCCAAAGTAAAATGAAACAAAAAATAGTAAAATAAAAAACGAATAAATTACGGCAATTGTGGATATAGAACTGAAATGAAGAACGGTATTCCATGTAATTTAAATATAAATAAAGCCATTGTTATTAAATATGATGATAAAATTAATATTGATGTTATTATAAAGGCCAAACGTGTAAAATTATAATAATATAATGATAATACAATGAATGAAATTATGTAAAGTTGAAAATCAACCGAAAGATACCATGTTTGAAAGCCACACTATTCAAAAATGAAAAAAACAAATTAAAAATTAATGAACTGAACTGATGATGACGAAGAAAAAATAATGCAAACCATTTGTCTAAAATCAAGCCAATTATTCATATACAAAAGATGATATGGTAAATTATTTATACATGGTTTTAAATATGATTCAATAATTTTTTCATGAAATAATGGTCCATTACCAATAAAACCTAATATTATTGTAAACATTATATAACCAATATAACATGGTGTAAAACGTAACCATCTCGACAATACATAACGACCAAATGATGGTAAATTTTTTGATTTTAAAAAACTTTGTGCCAATAAAAAACCACTGAAACAAACGAAAAATGATTAAAGTTAATTTCAATTGAATTTTGCTTGAAATAATACCTCATCATAAAAAATGATTTAATAGTCCATGTACTATTCACTAAATATCGATTGATTATAGGTGTTGTTTGTCGTTGATAATCATCGGGAAAATGTACAAATGGTGATATTGGTAATAGTTGTAGCACACCTTGATTAATTGAAACATGTGCTAAAAGAACAAATAATGTTAAAAATACACGCCAACCATCGATCCATGGATATTCCATTCGATTTTTTATTACAAATAATGAACGAAAATTTGAACATAGCGAAAAACAATGAATTATTTGCATTGATTTATATGTTTCATTTTGAAATTGATAAATTTCCAATATTGTAGCCAAAATAATCAATGCTAATATAATGATCATTATTACACTTTTTTTTGAAAAGATAAACGAAAAAACATTGATAATATTGATTAACTAATGTCTAATATTGATTTTTCAATTTACAAATTACCTTAAAATAATTTTTATCTTAAACCAATCATCAAATGATGAATCCAATTTTGTTTGACAAAATTCAATATCAAAATTAGTTTCATGTAATGGTTTGAATGCTATTTTTTTCAGATGTTTAGTTAATAATAAGAAATATTCATTTTCCCGCATCACTTACCATTCTGAATCAAATTGCCAATGAATTTTTCATCACAAACCGATGGTAAACATAATGCATTAGCCAATGGATATCGTGGATTTGCCTGTAACCAACGTTCCAATAATGATTGTTTCCAAATTTCATTGTTGCTTAAAAGTTTTGAATTTGATGATTCAAAATTTATCGATGGAAATTGCTTCACTTGATTTGGTAAACGTATTGTAGCAAAACAATATTTACCAATAAATTCAATCGTTGATATATCTTGATCATTATCGATTGTCGAATTTGATAAATGTTGTCGATTATCGATACTAAGACAAGAATCAAAATCACCAAAATTTGTAAATGTACCGGATAATAATCCAGAGCCGAAAAATGATCCCGAACTTGAATCAATCACTGCAGGATGGTGAAAAAAAATTATTAAAAATTCCAACAAACCAAAACAAACGAACAAACTAACATTTTGCTGACCATTCAGTTTCAAACGGTTGTGAAAGGGTTAAATTTAAAATTTTTAAACAATATCGATCATTAATAGATTGAATAAAACTTTCGTTTAAATTATTATTAATTGTTGAACGAAATTGTTCAAAATTTCGAATCATTAATGATTGTACGTGGTTGAATAGAAAATTTTCCGCAATTTGATATTGATATTGATGAATTGTTGGATCAAGATAACCATTCGAATATTGATCAAAACTTTTTGAACGAAAACAAAAACAACATTTAATGATAACTACCATAAATAGTAATAATAATAAAAATTTATTTAACACCAACATCGTGATGATTCTTTTTTTTGACAAATTTCTTTCAAAATGATTTCAAACGATCAGATTGTAAATGATATATATAACCACAAGCGAAAAAAAATAATAAGATGAAAATGAAAACTAAGTGCAACTTTCTGAAGGATTGCAATTAAATTGAAACAAAAATGTTGTTTCATCAAATTGCGTTCACCTTCGAAAAAAAATATAATTCTTTAGAATGAATAAAAATGATTCGGATAGAACTTTTTTTAAATAATACAAACAAACAAACAAAAAAATCACAATTTGAAGGACAAAATGATGATTACTTTATTCGTTTAATCGAAAATTCAAATGTTTTTTCCCAACACCAACAACAACAACATCAACATCGTCATGGTTGATGATTTGTTTAACTGATAACAGAAAAAATGGTTTAAGAATGTACAAAAAAAGAAAGATTTTGGTTTAAAATTTTTGACAAAATTCAGAAAAACAGAAAAAATTTGCAACAACAACATAAGATTTGATTGTGCAATCGAAGAATGTTGATAGCATCTTCCAAATATATTGCATAAATGAATGAACAATGTTTTTTCCCTTTTCCCTTTTCCAAAATGAAATAAAATAAATAAATATTGTTACGAATATTGGATGTTTGCATTTGTTTTTTTTATTATTACTTCAACCATTCATTGTTGGTGGTCATTTTCAATATCTTTTTTTTAACCAATTGGCATCCGTGTGTGTGTGCGTGTGTGTGTGTTTCTTTGGTCATTATTGGATATTATTATTTAACAATAATAATAACATGTAACAGTGTAACAGTGTAACATAAACAATAATCGTAACAACAATTGTTGAATAAATCTATAAATCAAAAAACAAATCAACCGAATCAATTGTTTTCGATTTTTATTATCATTTTCTATTTCATGTGAACAAACAAACAAAACAAACCGCAAGCGAATATAAACATTTTCGGTTATATTTGAAATATTTCAATCAATAAATAATCAGAAAGTTTACGTAATATTTACCTATGATAAATTTATGAAATATGAATTTTTTTCTTGGCTATTTACCTTATCAATTAGTCATACGTCGCATACAAAAATCAAAATTTTCTGCTTGTTGTTCGGGATGACATAAATTTTGAAATTTTACCTCAGAATTTTTTTTAATCCGAATGTGTCGCCATCTATACAGGTGAAATATTGAAATATTCTTGTATTTTGTTTGTCAACCGTAAAGAATCAACGAATTTTCCATTAATTTTGAAAGAAAAAAATCTGATTTTTTTTCTTCAATTTGCAAAAAACGAAAAAATATGAAAAACAAAACAAAAAAATTGTTCATTTTTTCCCCTCAAAAATAATGATAATTTTTAAAGGAAAAAAAGCCATTAATAGCCAAAAAAAAAATAATAACGGCCTTAATGTTCGAAACATCGATAATGAAAAAATGGTAAGGATTCGATTCGATGTGAGTGTGTCGATGGTTTTTCGTTCGTTGAAAATGTATCGATAAAACATTCATCCATTTATGTGGTGTATATAAATAGGATAAATTAACATGATTCAATTGAAAAAAACTAACGACAATTAATAATGCCGCAGGTAAGTTGATTTGATTTGATTTCATTTGAAGTGTCAATATTTTCATGACATTGAAATATTTATTTCAATTTTTTTCCTACTTTTTTATTTTTATATTTGGCTATGAATCAATCAATCAATCGAATAAAGCCATCGAATGTTGAATATTATGATCAATTAGATCGTTTAAATTTCATTTATCCATATTATGAAAGTCCATTTCCAGTTCTAATTAATCGTAATTATTCAAAATGGATGATTCGATATTGTTATGAATGGGCAATTGATAATAGTGGACCATTACGTAAACATCAAGCATTTGTTGATTCGATTCGTAATTCAGATCTTGGCCTTTATTCAGCTTGTTGTTTTCCATCGGCAAATTTTCATCGTTTAGAAAAATTAATGAAATGGTGTACAATGTTTTTTCTGGCTGATGATTATCATGATGGTCTTAGCCGAATACTGAGTAATGGTCAAATTGATTATGGTAATTTTTGGATTCCAATGATCGATATGTTTGATGGTATTTTAACCGGTTATCAGTTGAGTATAGTAAAAATTTTGGAAAATTTTTTTTGATAACATTTTTTGTTTTCGGCAAATTTTTCCAACAGATGTAATGAATGGCCAGATTTTATAAAAGCCATACAAAGAGTAGCAAAAGAAGTTTATTTTGATTATACAAAACAACAGATTAATCGTTCGATAAAAATGTTTAAAGATTATATAGCTGGAAATATATTGGAAGATAATTGGTCATCAGAACATAATGATGGTACGAATTTAACGAACGGTAATGGTTTACAATCAGAAACAATCATACCAGATTGGGATAGCTATATGAAAGCACGTTTAGGTTCGGTTGGTGGTCAAATGACATTACAATTAATTGAATATGCAAAAAATATTTCATTAATTGATCAAGAATGGAATCATCCATTAATGAAATCATTACTTGTTGCCGTATCTGAAGAAATGATTATGGTTAATGATCATCTGACATTTCGTAAAGAAGTTGCTGAAGCTAATTTTAAATTTAGTAATATGCGTCATGCATATACTGTTTTAGTTCATAATAAAGGTAAATATGATTTGATTATTAATTCACGTAAAAATATCCTCAAAAAAAACTAACAATTTTTTTTTGTTTCACTCCAAATACAAGGTTTAACATTACAAGAAGCTGTTAATCATGTACATCAATTGATTAAAGAAAAAGATGAATTAATATTTCAATTAATCGAACAGATTATGGATGATCCTATATTAAATTCAAGTTCAGAATCAACACAACGATTACAATTATATTTAGAAGGTGTTAAAGAAGTATTAGGTGGTTATTGGCGTTATGCTATACAAGCCCGGCGATATCATGGACAAAATTTTCAATCACAAAATGCAATACCACCAGCTGGACATTTTGTTTATGATCAACATCAAACAATCATATTAATGAATGATAATAATAATAATAATAATCAGAATAATAACAGTAAAAACAAAACCAATTATAATTATGAATGGTTAAAACCGATACCGGAAAATGTTCAACCAGAATAAATCAAATATTCCGATCAATAGATGGCGCTTGGTTATCGTTGTTTTTTTTTAATTTATGATTTTTTTTTACTGAAAAATAAAAAGATTCGATTTTTCGAAAATTTTTACAAAAATAAATAAATCCAGAAAATACAAAATACAAAATACAAGGTTATATTTTTTAATAATGACAATTTTTTTTTATTCTTTTTCAGCAAAAAAAAAATTATAAGTGAGAGAGAGAGATAGCGAAATAAAGAAGAAGAAAAAAACGAAATGAGAAACAGAGATCTTTAACAAATAATGAATGAAAATTAACACTTTTTTTTCATTTAAAACATGACTTGAATAAGAAAAAAAAGAATGAGATTTTTTCAATTTGATGAAATGATGATCAGGATGTTTTTGGGTGATGAAATGATGGTTGTCGATTTGCCATGATGATGATGATTGTAATGATGATGATTATACGATCTATTTGAATTTGTTTGTTTCTTAAGGAGGAAAAAAAGAAAAGTGGAACTTAAAAACAAAAGTAATGATAATAATGATGTTTTGATGATTGATAAATTGAATTTTTTTTTAGTGGATTTATCTGTGCGTGTGTGTGTGTAAATGTAATGAGTTAAATGAATGTATTTTCTGTGTGTATTTTGTGTCTGTGTGTGTAAAAGAATCAAAACTTTACAACAAAAAAACCACCACCACCTTACACACAAGTATCATCAGAACCAAAAGAAGAGAAAAAAACAGATCCAGATCTAAATTAGGGAATCGTATACATACAAACACAAACATTCTATATTTTCAAAGAATTTCAATTTCAATGTGTAATTAGGAATTTTGGATTTTCGAAGAATTTTGGAAAATATAATGCGAAAATATATTTTTTTTTGTATTTGTATTTTTGTTTTTTGTTTATTTAGTTACAGTTACAAAGTTTTTTTTTATTTCTTGAATAAAATGATGATAAATGATGGATATTTTTTTGATTGGTTTTTGTTGAAATTATTTATGTAGATAATGATGATGATGATGAGGATGAGGATGATGTAATGGGATAATGAACAAATGATGTTCCAATAATTTTTTTGTTTATACAAATTCTTTTTAATGATTATTATTATTATTATAAGAACACATTGACATATTTATATATATAGACCATCATAAATAATTAGAAAAAAAAATAGACAAACACATAACACACACCAATCATTATCATCATCATCATTATCAAATTATATTATTTTTTGATGTGTGTAATTAATGTGTTTAAATCAATGTGTGTGTGGGGGGGGAGTATGTATGTTTGTAAACAACAATCTAATGACATCTATTTATATATAGTGAAGATGATTTTTGAATGGACATGAAATATGTTTTTTTTTCAATTTCTTCATAATTCCGAACAATCCAACAAACGAAATCATTTCAGTTCATTTTTTCTTTCCATTCTTCGATCAGGTTGTTTTGTTTTGTTATAAACATTTTTTTTCACACTAATAATAGAACAACGATTTTTCTTCATTTACTTTTTTCAATCTTAGACAATATAAGAATGTCGTCGTTTGATCAAATTAATTAAAAAGTCGATTGTCCTAGTTAAATCACACTTACAATCGTTGACAGGAAAGAGCACAACACTAAAAACCAATTCTAGAAAAGACGAGCATTACTTTGCCGGATGAAATTCTTTACACATGTTAGGATGGATCACTTTTCTTCAATTTGTGAATATATAAAATGGTTTATATACTTTTTTTTGAATGAATTATTCCATTTCAATTCTTCGTCGAATCAATTTTGTTTTTTTTAATTATATAAACATTAGTCCAATTCACTATCACTGCTACTTTCACTGAGTTGTAAGTTTGAAGCTCTAGAATCAGCACGTGACCAATTGTTTTGAATTGAATTATCACAGTCAGTATCAAAATTGCTTGATGAAGATCCGCGGCATAATTTTTTGCTGCTTTTATTCGTCAACAATGCGGATGATGATGATGATGGCATATTATTACCACTTTTATCAGGATTTGATGGTGATGATTTGCTATTTAGCATACAAGAAGTGACATATTTTCTGAGCGCTATTAGCGTTTCTGGTTTTAATGCTTCAAAATCGATTTCAACATTTTGTTCATCATCACATCTTAACGATGGTTCAGTTGATTGCAGAATACGCAGAACATTTTGTAAATCGGTTGCTATATGAATGAAAAAAAATGATTATTAAATTAGATAAATTGATAGGACGAGATATTCAATTACTAACCCTGAAGATTTTCAAGATCTTTTTTTAGTTTTTTCAGATCATCAATACTTTCCGGATTGAATGGCTCAGTAAGCTGATATGAATCATCAACATAGGAATCCGAATCATCATCCTCTTCGTCAGACGATAAGTGTTTTCGTTTCTTGTTCGTAGTTGATTTTTGGGACAACCTTTTATTTGTTTTCGTTTTATAGCCATTTTTTCTTGGCTTTTTCGAATTGGACCGTTTTCCATTTGGGTATCCATTAGAATTCGGTTTAATTGCGTTCAGAAGTGCAGTGGCTGCCGATGATTCCGGAGTATGAGATAATGCTGTTGATAACGCTTCTCTCAAGCATGCAACTTGAAATTCCAGCATTTTCATACGATCTTCAGGTTCATTATCTGCATTACTATTGCCATTATGTTTATCAGCTAGAACTGAAACATTTAGAGGGCTGAACACACCAGATTCATTCCGTGAAACACGACTTTTAAGACTATTTTTCTTATTCGATTCTGATTTTGCTTTTTTACCATTAGATATGCTTGATGAATTCGATGAATCGGAAATATGATGATGACTTGATGATGTTGAGGCACTAGTCAGATTTCGAATCGAAAATGAAGGAGAACTGTTTTGTTTTGGAACAACCAATTTTTCTTTTAAATAATCTTCAGGAAATTGAGCATATCGATATTCGAATGCTTCCTATTGATAAAAAAATGAATTAGAATTAACAGAATAAAAGTGGTGATGATCATACCCTTAGTTGTCTGACTTGTTCGATGATTGGCGATTCTGGTGGATTATAACGTAAACAATTCGAAAACATTAATCGCATATCTTTAGCGAAATCATCCACAGTGGAATATTTTCCCGATTGAATATTCGTCTGATAAAACGACATTCATCAGTAGTAATGATGATATACAAATTTAGTAGAATATACTCACTTTGATGGTTGATAGGTCAATTGGTTTTTTAATTTTTAAATGATAATCAGGAAATTCATTTGGATCAACCGGTTTCCAGAATGGCCAAGCATATTCGGCATGTTTCTTGGTGAACAATTCTTTGACAAATTTACAACATTCTTCCATCGGTTTGTTCAATGGCACCTTTCTCACTGTAGGCTGTTTTACAGGAGGTGTCGAAATCGGAGCCGGTAAATCTTTGCTCGGTTTTCGTACCATAACACCTCTCTCACTACGTGTTGTCATCTTGATTGGTGAGAATGCTGTCACACCAGGCAAACTGTTGTCTCCAATCGGTGATAGAGTTGGACAATCCATACTATCTGACAGCGATCCGCTGCGTCGTTTATAGCCTCGTTTTTCATTCAATTTTTGAACTAAAAATATAAACCAAAAAATATATTAATAATCAAACAATTAGGGAAACAAATAAAAAGAAAACATACATTCTTCGATGTTTTGTCGTGGTGGACAAGGAATTTCTTCCTCGACAAGAGGCATATCTTTAAGTTTTTCATCGAAAAATTCTTCCAATTTTTTGCCGGCAGAATAAACATAATCTTTGGGTGAATTGAATTGATAACAATTTTTGAATATTTGACGAATATCACTTATACATTCATTAGCAGATTGATACCAAAGAAAATTAAGTCGATTTTTGACAGTATTTAGATCCATAGGTTTTCTGACAACTAGATAATAATGTGGGATCTTAAGACGAACACTATCGACAGGATTTAAAAATGGCACAGCCGTTTTATAGCGGCAAATATATTTGGTTAGGATGGTCTTGAGAAAATTTAGCTGATTAGTAAAACGGGAAGGTATGTTGTCATCTTCCCGGTAGAAGATCATTTCGGCAACACCTTTTATCAAACGAATACCATTCGGTAAGATTGTTTCACCATCAAAATCAATCTGGATCGATTTCCATTCATCATCATCTTCAATTGTATCGATGACATTTTCAATCAATTCTTCAGTGATAAATTTAATTTCATCATCGATATTGTCATCGTCGTAACTTTTCATTGAGATCTCCTCAATCATATCATCATCGTGTGATGCAACATCAGAACTATCGCCGAAAATACTTGTAGCATGAGAATGATCGAAATTATTTTCGGACATATCGCCATGAAATCCGTTGTTTTTATGTGCAGCACACCACACACAAGTAGTGGCTATAGATAATTGTAGCAGAATATTTTTTTTTTTTTGGGTGTGGAGTTTTTTTTACCGTGTTGGCCAACACGTCCACCTTTTTATTTTTCACAAGATACACTTGTATTATTAAAATGTACTGGCAGCATAGATTTATGATAGAAACATTACTATTCAACAAAAAAAAAAATGCGAAAAGAGAAAAAGATTATTATTGATCACTCTCCCTCCGCTATACAGTGTACTCTCTCTCTCTCTCTTTGCAAATCAAAAAAAAAATTCACATTTTTCAATGAGTTTCAATGTTGTTGCGTCATGATTATCATCAATTATTTTCGATGATAATAAAAAAAAATATTCAATAATATTCGAGATTGGTGGGTAGTATAAGCAACATTATAATTATATAATGAAAAAAAGGTGTTTGACTTAAATCTAAACATCTGTCTCGAATCATTCTTCTTTTTTTTTCTAAACGTGAGAATCTATGGACTTGTAATGGACTTTATTCATGTGTTGGAGAAAAAAAAAATGTCTGCAAAATATTATTACAACCGTCAAACTAAAATTCATAATGATGATTACGTACTTTGGACTAAACATAATAATTATCCCTCATACAAACAACAATCGTTTCTTATAAATCGAATAAATAAAACTCAAAATACACAGTGTTTTTAAACTTGACTTTGGATTATGATTTAAGATTTTTTTTGTGTGTTTTGAACATCTATAAAAAAAAGGGGATACTTAACAAGAAATTCATAAACGAATTAGAAAGAAATCGAGAATCTACCGTAACAACAATCGAACGCGAAAATTTAGTTTCCTTTTCGTTTTTTTTTGTCTATTCAAACACACAACTTATTTGTTTGCTTACTCAATTGCTCACTCACTCACTCACAACAACAATTTATTGGAGAAGTTCATGTTTATTCTACACAAACAATAAAACCTAGCGGAAAGGGAATATATAGTATCGGTGTTGCTATTAGTGATAATGATGATGATCGTTCTTCTATCTTTTTTTTTTTAAACCATATGAGAGAGAATACATGTGGTACATGCGGTGTTTGATGATGATCTAATAACATAAAGCGAAAAGCAAGCTAAAATTGAAACGCGTGTGATTAGTGCGCGCCTTTTTTCCTTGTTTTGTTCGTTCTGTATACAGTGGTTAGTAATTCTCAATATTGATTTGGGATTTTTTTTTTTTTGGTTCCGATTCTAGATCTTTTGATTTAATAATAGCATTAGAAATTTTGCAGAACCAAAAAAAAACAATAGAATTGTTTTCATTTTCAAAAAAAAAATATTGTCATTGTCTGTTCTGACGCATTAAACTTAGTCAAGAGAGACCATGTGAGATTTTTTGTTTTTGTTTTGTTGTTTGTTGTTTGATAACGATGATAATGCAAATCATAAAATTATCGTGCAAATGACTAAATGATAAACAAAAAACTTGTCGAATTGAAACAGAATTTATGTTATTTTTTTAAAATCAAATCTAAACATTTGTGGTCATAAGTATTGTACATTGTTTCTTTCATTCATCATGATTTGTAACAAAAAAAAATGATCTATAAAAACTAAGATAATCTTACCAATGGAAAAAAGGAAGGAAATTTTTGATCTTTTTCTTTTTTTTATTCAATTGTCCAGTCAAGAGATAAAGTTAACCGATTCGCCAGACCGTTTTATACATGTATCGTGGACAACTTGTATGGTATAAATTTGGTATTTATTTTTTCAACAACAACAACAATAATCATCATTTGAATTTAAATTTTCAATCACCAAATTTTAATCAATAACAAACAAACAACAAAAACAATTAAAAGCAATAAGAATTTGATGTTTATTTTTCTTTTTGAACAAAATAATTCGATTTTTTATTCGTCATTTAAAAAAAAAATTTAAAAATAATTCAATTTTGGACCGTCGTTAAATTGAGGTACCACTGTATTCGAGTTATGTCGTATTTTTGCAAAAAAAAAAAACACAAAAATTATCCGTGTGATCGACGCCGTGCACACAACAACACTGAAACTAATAACATAATTATAGACGTCTACACTTCAATCTCTTTTTTTTCTCTTTTTGGTTCTATCAGTTTTTTTCGAATCTTATTCTATCCAAATGCTACTATTACTTTTGGTATCATTTTCGGAAGTATCCATTTCTGGTTAATTTTAATGCTGTTAGCAATTAATTTAAGAAGAAGTAGCATTTGCATTTTATTGGAAGGATAGATCCTATTGAATAAAGAGGTAGCAGCACATGGATATCACAATGAATTCATTATTACCCAATCGTTTACGATGAGCATTGATGGTGGCATTTGTATACATTATGAAGCCGTAAATATAGTTGTTGGAAGCATAATTCTATAAGCGAATAAAAATCACGTGGCCGTGATGAACGTCAGTATTCGATATTTCACTGCTTGATCACGTGATCATAATAGACACTCATATCGATACCATATCGATACTGTTCAAAAAAATTTCGATTGTTTAATTTTCACGCGGGTTTTCAAATTTATTTAATAATTTACAAAAAAAAAAACTCAAAAATATAAAGATATCAAATACAAATTTCAACATTACAAATTTTTTAAAAAAAAGATCTAATTTTTCTGCATATGAAGCCAGAAACAGTTCAGTAAATCACATTTTTGTATTTGAAGTATTTTCATTTTTTTTTTGTTCCATATTTGTGACTGAATAATCAATTGATAATCAGCAATCATGTTGATTGTTTTGAACATGAATTTTTTTGACTGTCATTCTTTTTTTTTGAATTCAATTTATCAAATTCTAAAAAAAAATGAAAATCAATATTTGAATTTGGAAACAATTTAATCGATTTACCATTGATTGAAGATATTTGATGAGGAGTTGATCATGGTTAGAATCGTTGATTCAGGTCACTTGTAACATTCGACATTTCAAAGATTGGATTATAATTCGTAATGAAATTGTTTGATATCACATAAAACAAAAAAAAAACGAATGATTAGCATCTATTTAGCTGAATTCAAACTGAATGAATTCTTATCACAATAAAATAAACAAGTAGATTTAACTAACATTCAATGATGAATGATTTATTAAACACTGATGTTGTTGCCACAAAAAAAAATTTGTATCAATAACAATTTGATATGAAAACATTTATCACATTTGAAAATAAATATCACAATAATGATTCTTCATGTCCATTTTTTTTTCTTTGGTAATATGAAAATTCACAACGAAAAAAAAAACAAACAATTTCTTTCGAAGAATAAAGATTCGAAATAAACTTCTTCAGTCTGCTGCTGCTGCTGTTTGCTACAATCAATCTTCGATTAATGTATCATTGAAATTATGACGTAATGTTAAATGCTATGTTCATATAGCATAAAGAATATTTGCAGAGTATACACTGTATCAGCGGAGGGAGAGTGATCAATAATAACATCCATTTTTTTTCTTTTCTTTCTACCACTTGTGTAATATACACAAAAGTGTATCCAAACAAGAATGTTTGGTTAACCCCTTCTGTCTTTTTTTTTGTTTGTTTTAAAAAAAACCTAAAACTTTTTTTAATAATCAAAAAAATGAAAAATTTTTGTTTATTCCTTGCAGTAGATGAATTTTTCCCACGAATGTAAGATGACATTGAAATTCTTCGAAAAAAAAACGGATTTTTCATTCAGAAAAATGAAATCCCAATGATCAAATGTTCCGGATTCTCTGAATATTTCCCCCCCCACACACACACACACATCAAAGGTGGACGTGTACCACAGCGTTAATCAGACAGTGTGGAAAGAAAAAGAAGAAAAACTCCTCCACATTATCTAATTGCCACTACTATTATTATGTAGACAGTAGAAGAAGTATAGAAAAAAAGTAGCAAAAAAGAATTACACATTCGAATCACACATGCGTATATTGAACATTGAATAAAAAAAGGAATCGAATTCGATGAGTAAAAACTCGAATAGTGTGTGTGGAGTTGTTTTAGTTATTGGATGGATGATTATTATTAGTGTTGATGATGGGGACAACTCAAGGACAAATGGGCGAATTTGTCGTCATCATTACGATACATACACACAGAGTAAGAGAGAGAGGGAGAGAAAAAAAGATACGAAGATCAATGTAAATAAGTGAATTATAGACGAAAAAAAAGAACGTTTGTGGATTGTTTTTATAAAAAAAAAACATCGAATCATCGATAGAGGTCACTATTGACGATGATAATATTTGTTTTTTGTTTTTTTTATCCACCAAAAATCCTAATAAAGAATATTCTTTTTCTTCTTTGTTTTTTTTTCTCCCATAATACAATTAGATCGGATAGCTAATCATATTGATTATGATTCTTTTTGATTTGATGTGATTCGTTTTTTTCCATTGAGTAACATTTCTCTTTAAATAGTAATAATTGAATTGGAGGGAAAAAATATTATTATTCCCATTGAAAGATTAGAAAGACTGTTTTTTTGTTTTCCGAATAATTATTTCGAATCAAAAGAGAAAAGAAAAGTTAATCATCATCATCATAAATTATTTGGCCGTTTCAGATTTTTTGTTTTCCATCATCATCGAATCAGATTACATTTTTTTTTTGATTTATTTTAATAAAAATTGATGAACGAAAGAAAATTGATTATTGAGAATTTCAAGCAAGAAAAGAAAATTCTTGAAAGATCAACGAATAAACAAACAAAACAAAAGTAGCAAAATAATTCGAAATTCCAATAGTAGCAGGTCAAATCAAACACCCACACACATATATTTTGCTACATTCATCCGTCAAGCAAACCCAAAAAAAAAACATGATTTTTGAGCGAAAAAAAAAGAAAATCCGGATGATGATTATTTTGTCTATCAACAAAACAAAAAAAGCAAACTTTGGACACACACATCATGGTAATAATATCGTTTTTGAATTTGAAACATGAACATTTTTTTTTGTTCAAACATACCGGACACACACACCTTTGGAAAAAATCAATCAATTCGATATAGAAAATTTTTTGAAATTCAAATTTTTTTTTCATTTATAAATGATGATTATGAATGTAACCCATCGAAACCCCATCCACAATACAAAAGAAGCAAGTTTTATTC